CGACCGCCTTGCCCTCCCCGCCTTTGACGACAGTCAGCAGCCGCTTTGTCGACCAAGTCGTTGAGGTAGCGAAGCAGGTCAGAGCACAGTCCCTGCGGGGCACACCAGCTCGGTTTCTTGCCGTGCGAGGGGACCCAAACGTACTGCAACTGCACGCCAGCACTAGCAAGGTCTCGAAGAGGAAGTCTGACCTGTTCAACAAGCTTGAGCAGGTAGTTGAAACGCAGGCCCTCCTGTAGCACAACTTGCAAAGCAGACTGGCAGTCGAGCACAAACACAGCTCTTCCAGTCCACCCAGTGGCAGAAGCCGCTGCACCAAGAGCCTTTGCCGCCATGCAAAAGCCCAAGAGCTCCTGCTTGTAGGCGGTCTGGTCCTCGTCGTTGTTGCCAAGAGCAGCCGTGTAGCCGCCCGGGTGCACCGTCACCGCGTAGGAGCCGACGTCAAAGTGCTCGGAGCCGTCGGTCGCCAGGAAGAGCACGGCCGGGTTGAGCTCCAGCGGCACACGGATCTCCTCGACGAGGTCTTCGAAGAAGCCACCCGGGTCCAAAGCGGCCGGCGCCGGTGGCTGCTCTGGCACTCCCATGAGGAGCAACCGCTCCTCGCACCTGTCATGAGGATCCCGAAGCCCAGTTCTGAGGTGCGCTGTCTTGTCACACGCCCAAAGTAAGTGAGCTCGCGAAGGGCGACTAAGGCCGCACAAACACTGCCAACGACTGTGGTGCTCCTCGTAGCCGCCTCCAGCGTTGTAGAACCAACAGGAGTTGCCAGCTCCCAGCGCCGCCAAGTCAGTGCCACGAAGTCCCAACGTCAGCGCCTCGTGCAAACCGTCGAAGTGGTAGTCAAGGGAAAAGTCAGGCTTGGGCAGGTCCAGGCCCGTCGCCAAGCCAGCTTCGTCACGGTGGTAACTGCGCTTAACCCTCCCAGTACAAGCAACAAGACTCTGACGGTAATGCTGCCTCAACCACTTAAAGACAACAGAAAAACCATCAAGACCCGGCCTAAGAACCCGAAGTCTCCCTGTGGTGTCACGGCGACTGAGCTCGGACCCATTAGGCTGCATGCTCCATCGCAACTTACTCAAAAGAGCAGGAGCCTCAGGGAGCATCTGTTGCCACAAGAACTTAGCCTCAGAGAGGGGCACGTAGTCAAGCCAGCGCGGTGACATTACGCAGGCCTTCCAGAGCACACGAAGCGTTCCCAGATCACAAGCGAAATCTGGATGCAGCTGCCATCCCAAGGCTTCGTACAGGCATACCGCAGCAAAGCCTGCAGCAAAAGACTTTGAAAAGACAGTCACGATCTCGCCACGGATTTCTCGCAGGTCGTCAGAAGACGGCCTAGCAAATCCAGCTGCCCAAGCGAAAGGAGGCACCACGAGTGATGCGAGCAGTTTCGTCTTGAGGTTTCTGTTCTGAGTCACCCATCCAAGGAGCCGAGCTCGCAGAATGGCCTTGCGGGCCTGATAGCGAAGAAGTGTCCAATCCTCGTCAAAACAGGCCCGGACCCCAAGGATCTCGAGGCAGTCAGTTTCCTTGAACTGCAACTCGCGAGCAAAGGCATGCGATGCAGCACACGGTCGTCGTGCAGTCAAGCTACACTTGTCAAGTGAAAGGCTAAACCCATAAGCATGATCAAAATGAGCAGATCGACTTGCAGCAGTACGAAGAGCCTCAATATCACACTTCTCATGGAGCCAAAGCGAACGATCGTCGATGTAGGCAATCCCCGAAACTTGACCCTGAACCGGACCCCCTGTACAGTAGCATCGCCACACGTGGGCTATGGCCGCTGACAGCACCGGGCTCAGGGGACATCCCTGAGGGATGCCCGTAGTCACATCAGTCCATTGGTCGCTGAGCACTCCACTCATGGAGAAAATCCGCTGGGACTGTGTATAGAAACTGCACAACAGTTCAAGGAGGTCGCTGGGAAAGCGCAAATGCTCAAGAGTTCTACGCAGCGTGATATGATTAATGGTATCAAAGTACGCAGACACGTCCATCTGAAGAAAATGCGAGGCACGACGCCGAAAGGCTTGCTGCACCTGCATCAATGCAGACTGCACCGACATGTCAAAAACTCCACCAACATCACCATGATCCCTCCAACTTTCGACCCAAGGTCGGAGTTGGCGCTGCAAGCATCTAGCTCCTGCCCTCCACACTGCATTGAGCAGGGTGATAGGACGGGTGCGTTTCTGAGGCTTCCACAAAAGAACCACTCGAGCTTTGCGCCACGAAGATGGAACACGACCTAATCGAAGTATGGCTGCCCACAGTGCAGCAGCCCAACGATACCAGGCCATGGGGAGGAGCAAAAGGTCACGAGGCATCCACCCATCAGCACCACCAGTTTTGGACCTCATGACCTGCGTCGATTCTCTGAGGGCCGCAGCTGTAACCTCAAAAACAAGCGTTTGAGCAGCAGGGCGCGGCACCTCGGCCAAAACACCATCAATCATCGAAAGATCAGGGTTAAAGGGACGCTGCCATTTGGCCGCCCACAGCTGAGCCTGCTCACAAACGGCCTCGGCAGGATGCCACCCATCCTCAACCTTAGCAGCATCAGGAGGGGCTTGTTCCCATGCCAGTAACTCATCCGCTCTGCGTTTGACGTAAGAACGGACCACAGACTCATCCACAGCAGTGCGCTGCCGCCATCGCTCAAGATGAACATCCCGCTCAGACTTGGTCAAGGTGTCAACAAGTCCAGAGACAGCCGCCACGGCTTCGGTAGTTCCACACTGCAAGTACGGCAACTGCGGAAGCAAAGCACGGACATGAACACAAGCCGACGCAGTCCGGCGATGCAGCGGCGAGTCCCAAGGTCGCATGTTGCATAGCTGGAGCTTCTGCAACAACCGCCGTAAGGCACGAAGACCACGCGAACCATCAAGTTCTGCCTCTTGGCTAGGCCTCGACCTAGGAGCAACAGGCTGCCATTCCTCACTGCGGCGAAGCACCTTGCGAGAGGAAGCGGGCTCGAACAAAAGATTCTCAGCCACATCCGAAGCCATAGCCCAAGCACCATCAAGGTCTTGAGCCTCCAGAAGATCGTGGAAGGCCTTTTCATCCTCCAAAGAGAACTCAGTGTCCTGTGCAGGCCTCTCCGGAAGGTAAGTGCAGCGCCGAGGAGGAGCACGAAGAGCAGCAGGAGCTGCTAGATCAAACCCATACTCGACTGCAAGATGATCGGAAAGGCTGGTCGTGAGCAACTCAGGGCACTGCTCAACGGACGAAGCGAAGAGATCTCCCAAAGTCACACCATAATCAATCCGACGCCTACGAGTTCCATTGTACACAGGGCCCGTGGGGGGCAACACGAGGCCCTTGGCAACAGCATCACAAGGATGAATGGTGCCGGAATGGATCATGGCAGCGATTTCGCCCTCCTCCTGTGTGAGATTCCAGTCCCCAAGGACCAGAGTGCGCCGACCAGCATTGGCAGCCTCCATGATGCAATCAACTGCCTGGGCATTAGCTTGATCAGCCTTCCCACTCTGGAGATACACTGAGGCCACAAGCACAGGATGCTTACAGCCATGAGCCTGCAAGTCAAGCAGTGCAGCAGCACACCGATGCTCACAGTCACAACGACACAAGGTGACAGGCTTCAGCGGGATCCTACTGACCAGGGCCGTTTTGCACAAACCATCCTCGGGGGAGCTAAGGGCAACATGCCAACCATGCCTACGCCACTCAGCAACCCAAGAAGCTCGACTATCAACATGAATGTTACACTCGGGGGTTGCAACAATGTCAATGCCACGGCTTTGCAAAAGAGTGCGAAGAGCACTGCCACAGGCAATGCCACGTTTAGCAAGATTCAGAGTCATCACCTTTAGAAACACGGCGACCCGTGAAACTCCAGCGGCCTCTCAAGCACAGCCTTAGCCCCAGCGAAAAAGGTCAAACCCCGGGCCTTGGCCTCCTCAGAGCAACGACTATTTGCAAACACCTCGCGAACCTGCTCAAGCTTACTAAGGTGCTTGAGATGCACGTGCAGCGGCATCGGATGCTTCGTGTCATGAAGGTGAGGGCATCCAAGCTTGAGGTGTTCCCGAGCATGCTTATCGGTGCGGCACGGAAAGAAACAAACCTTGCACTGCCAAGAAGCTCGAAAAGCAACCTCAGTAATGCGAGTGCGCTTCTGACCCCTCAAGCAGGGCCACCTGAAAAAGGAGAAACCTGCAACGATGTCGGGCTTGCGTTGCAGCTGCTTACCGACCTGAGCATTGTACCTGGTGACAGTGGCACGCTCTGCGCGCCCCTGGTAGTCGAGACCCCTCCATTTAGCCCAACGGACCTTAGGATGGGCAGCAATCTTGTGAGCACGAATCCCAGCGGCAACTCGTCGCTGACAGGCTTCGCGCCCAATCTCGAAGGGAATGCCTTGCTCACACAAGGGGCACCGCCACCAATGCTGGCCATCTGGAAGCTGACAAATCATGTCCTTAACGACCTGAGTGCCAGCCGGGGTTTCGCCAGGATGCATCGCTCTAAAATGCGCGACCTGAAGACAAGCCGCGGTGGCATCATCACTGCAGGCTCTCTGCCAAGGGCACAGCCGACACCGGGCATACCCATCGACACAAAAGAGCTTACGCTTCTGACCAGGGCCGCGAACAGGCATGTCACGATCAGTGCTCGCCAAAGCATATCCAGACACAACTGTACCGACACTGGCAGCAGGAGTCCTAGCAGTACCATCAGCAGCGGTCGACTCCGTGCACGCTGCAGAAATGCCAGCCCCTTTGGCCGCGGCAGGCACACAGGTCTTGCTTCTCAAACGTGTTTCGGCAGGCCTCGAGGTCCCTAGCACAGAAGTGGCAGCGAGAGAAATGCCTCGATGAGCCGAGGAGGGTGCCGAATCAGAGCATGCCTCACTGATGCCACCAACCAAGAAGCCACCGTTGGAGTCCGTAACCACTGAAACGATCTCCTTCGGGTACTTGGCCTCGTCTGGCTTCAAGAAGTCAAAGTGCTTGTCATGGAAATAGATGGCTCCAACCTTGCGCTGCTTAGCCTTACCATACGCACAGACATGCCACCGAGGATCAGCTGGGAAAAGCACCACCCGAATCGGGAAAAGACGACAAAGAGCCTTCAACTCAACTTCCCCGCTGTACTTGCCCGGCATGGCAACCTGCTGAACGAAAGTGTCCCAATCTTGAAGAGCAGAGCCGTCAGGTCCAGGCTTGCCATCAGCAGTCCAAGCTGGCTCATAATCCGCAGCGTGTCGCTCGATGTGGTCCGCAACACGAGCGCGCAAATCAAGGTGATTAATGGCCGTGCTCTCCTTGTTTGCCCATTGCAAAATGGCGCTGAAGGAGTGGTAAAGGCAGTTGCCATCACGCGGAACAGCATGCACGGAGCATTGAGCCGGGACCTCGCGCAAAGCGATCTTGGCTCGCTTTGTGTGGCCCTCCTCTTTCTTTTCCTCAGCGGTTTCTGAGCCCTTTGCATCCCCGGCACTGGACGTGTCCATGTCCTGAGGCTCCTGGCTGTCGCCCGGGGTGACATCGATCGTCTTGGTGACCGGCGTAAAAGGAGCAGCCTGCGCCTCAACAAAGGGCAAGGAGCCACCACGTAACCGCTTTTGACGCACCTGCTCAGGTCTAGCCGGAGCCAAACAAGCCCAGAGCATCAGCTGTCCATCATCGCCATCCTCGGCAGCAATGGGCAGGAGATCGCAGTCAGCCCCAGCCTTAGCAGCACCACGGAAAAGGAAGGATTTCTCACTTCCACGAACGGACTGTCTGATCATCTTCACCTCGTAAAAGCTGGCCTCAACGACTCCAGCAGCTTGCACCATATCCCAGTGACGTGGGCAACCGTTCAGCTGCCAAACCCTGGAAAAACGAGTGGCCTCAGTGATGGGCTTCTTCCAACCGAGGCGTACGCCATGGCATGCCAATCCAATCGACTGAGCACGATGGGCTCGGGCGAAATAGTCCTTATCAGATTCCTTGTACAGCCTGTCGATCCACTCAATCGTTACGCGCTCCTTCTGCCCGCTGGGCGGAAAGGTAAAAACCCCATCAACCCCAGCACACCCAAGCAAGGTGGGCAGATCGGCCTTGGGGGCGCGAATGATGCCAAAGATCTGCGTGGCGTTGTTGCCAAGTTTCTCTTCGGACCACTTCCACGAATCAGTAAGCTGCACATGACGCCTAGAGGCCCAAGCTGCAATGGCATGGCGAGGATTCTTGATGAAAGCGCTCCACTGGTCTTTGCTGACAAAAGCCTGAGGCACTTTCACAAAAAGCACCCCCGTCTCCTTGGCCTCAACCCGGTGGGATGAGCCAATGTGCTTGGGCTGCGGGGCCCCTTTGCCACTGGATGTGCACTGGACCGCCAAACCCTCGCGAAATTTAATCATTGCCCCAACCTTGCCCGGAATGGCTTGCTTAACCCCAGCTTCCTTAGACAGCGCATGTTCGAGGAGCTGTTTCTTGGAAAGATCAACGGCAACAAGCAGAGTCGAGTACTCCCGAGATGAAGCCCCCAGGATGCGCCTAGCGATGGCAATCTCTGCTGCAGTGCAATGGACAACAGCTTCAAAGCACACCTTGGCATCAGCAGCCTCGAACTTAGCAGCAAAGTCCGAAAACATGATCAGAGGGCTATTCCAATCCTGAGGCCGGAGCATGAACTGTTCGTCTGCAGTTGGCTTACGCTGCACAAGCTGCCATCCATCATTATGGGAACTCTTGGGGCCGGGGGGAGCAGCAGCATTGGAAGCAGGGGGCTGGCCGTGGCCTTTGCCCTTGCCTTTATGCTGACCCTTGCCCTTGCCATCATCACCCTTGCCGGCAGCCTTAGCAGCAACAGGAACACTAGGGTTCGAACCACTAGGGCCCCCAGTGCCACCCCTCTTGAGGGCAGCTTTTTTCAGCTTGGCTCGCTTCCGATTCTTGGCCTTAGCACTGAGCGGCTGCTGCTGAAGTCCAGCTTGCCCTAGCGATTGCTTCACAGCTTGCTCGACAATCTTTTGAATAGCACTCTTGATCGTATCAAGAAGGCCCGGACCAAGGAAACTCAGAGCATCAAGCCCCTTAGGAGGTCCAGGATGAGAAGCTTCCCCAACCCTGACCCCTGCAAAAGGCTTGCCACTCCAGCGAGCAGAAACGAGGCCTGCAACACAACCCCCAAAGCCCTGAAGACAGCCCGCGAACCAGCACACAGCAGCACTATGACAAGAAACTTTGCTTTTGGCAGCACGGTCCTGAGCGCACGCGGGGTCCTTCGAAGCCACAGCGCCAAAAGCGCAAAGTTCACCAAGGAGACCGGGAGCACGAGCAGCCACAGCAGGAGTGGTAGGCATCCAGTCGTCGGAGAAGTCGTCGCACATACCACCTGCGGTCGGTGGCACGGGTACCCGGCACCTAGAGGGAGTCCTAAACCCTAGGGGGAGGGAGTGCGGCCAGCATGGCCGGCTGCATTCAAAGGCTTGCCCTCTCCAGCCGGAGGGGCCACAACTGACACGGGGTACCCAGCACCTAGAGGTGGGACTAAACCCTAGGGAGGCAAGCGAGGGAAGGCATTCAGTGTTGACCTCGAGGCCACCAGATGGTCGTGTCGGGCCGTCGTCGTCCCGAAAATCGTCGTCTTTTGCGGCAGGTGCCGCCAGCAGCACGGGTACCCAGCACCTAGAGTTGGGACTAAACCCTAGGGGGGCAACCAGGGAAAGGCAGTCAGTGATGTCGTCGCAGCCACCAGGCAGTCGAGGTGGGCCGTCGTCACTCCGAGGATCGTCATCTGTAGTGGCGGGTGCCACCGACAGCACAGGTACCCGGCACCTAACGAGAGGCCTAAACCTTAGGGGGGCAACCGGGGAGGCGCGAGGCAGAGGATCATCACCACCGTTCCCGCCCTCTAGGGAGCCGAACAACATGCCGAAGAGCTCGCCGTTCATCGGGAGGAGCAGGAAGCTCTGGCCGCCGTCAGCAGCATCAGCAAAGCCACAAAGATCACCGTCGAACGCAGTGCCAACCATGGCTAGCATCGCGGTCGCGTGAGGACCCCCGGGGGGCCCTGGAGGGCCGGTACAGCTTTGGGGGTGAGGTCCTTGGGTCCTCTCCCCATTGTTGATCGACTCTCTTTTGCTCTTTCTTGAGGTCCTTGGGTCCTCACCCCACTATTGATCGACTCTTTTGCTCTTTCTTGAGGTCCTTGGGTCCTCGCCCCTTTGTTTTTAGGGTGCACACACTCAGGAAGGACCACGGCGTT